TATTGCTTCCATGACAATGGGAAGGATGGATGGACAACCTGAAAACAAAATGCCTCTGGCCTTGGCTGTAGCCATGAAGACATAAAAAAGGAGTTAGAAATTAAGGTGTCAACATATTTGAGGGTTTGGTGAGAAGAGGAGTTAGAAAATAGATATAAGGAAAGCACAAGGCAGCACATGTCATATAATAATATAGGAAATTGCAGTTCAGTTGTGTTTGCTGTTCATCAAGAGGTGTAAACAAACTGTTTCTCTTTCATTTAATTTATGGGCAACACAACAAATGAAACTGCACTATTTGGTTATTAAATGGGGGATGAAACTAAATGCTGGAAAGGTTTGTTGGTAAATTGCAAATCATTGGCAAACATAGGTGAAGGACTTTTATTTTAATGAAATGGGTTTTTTTTAGCTGGAGAATTAAGAATATTGAAAATAAAATGTAAAATTAAATAGATTTAAAACCATTAACTTTAGCTTCTAAGTTAAAGTTCCATAATCTCTTAAACCTGAGCAGCTGCACTAATCAAAAAGCTGAACAAAAACTGAAAGGAGAAAAAAAGAAAGCTGAAGATTATTTTTGTGGTACTGATGATTTCCTAAATGACTTTTTGAAAAGCAGTCATTTAAGCAGGCCACTCACTTGTATTTCTGCTCAGACATCATGGCTAAACTTTGGATGTCTAGCTGTTGCTGACAGGCTTATACTGGGGGAGAATTGCAACAGCTTCAAGTGCATGGCTTTCAGATTAAAGAGAATAGAAGAGCTTTTTAATTGTTTCTTCTCATGCACAAACTTAAAAACTCACACAAGCTTTATGAAGATGCTTTGGTCAGGACTTTGCTAATATGAATGGTGCAAGATTCTCTGCATTCTCCCATGTTTCTGGGCTGCCTGACCTTTGGTTTGACCTTTTGAAGAAAATTTGCAGCACCAGCTGCCTAGTGTCTTGCCTCACATTAATTTTCCTTGTTGCTTTTTTTTCTATGCTACCTTTGCAGTGTGGCAAAAAAAAAGCTGAATTCAGGGGGTCAAGGGTCAGGAGTGGGAGGGTAAAGATGCAGGTCAGCTTGGCGCTGCAGTTGTGTTCAGCCAGTTTCCTCAGAGGCGTTACTGCCACAAAGCAGTTTGAACTCTTCCCCCTTTAGCTGCCTGTCAAAAACTGTCCCTCAAGAGTTGAGTGTTAGATTATTAGAAAAGCTCCTAAGCCAGTATTTTAATAATGTTATGTTAATGTTATGATTCAATGTACATTCATTGTTCTTTAATGACTTTAAAAAAACAAGAATCGGCTGTATATGTTTGAATTTATTTTGGATTTTTTGCAGACATCAGCAAGCTTCTAGCATAATTCTGGCTCGATATTCTTGGTAGAACTGAGAGTGTTTTGGCTCAAAGATATGCACATACTCACTTAAATCTTGGTAAGAACACTCAACACATCATCCTCAGATGGGAGGAAATGAGGTCCCAGCAGATAGCTGCCCCTCCCTGAGCCTGGTTCTGCAAGAGGTTTCGTCTTGTTAAAAGGGAGATTTTCTGTCCCACTGTCGCCAAAGTGCTTGCTCCTGGAAAAGAAGCCCCTGCGCCAAAACTGACACCTTCAAGCTTGATTGAAATCTGCAGCTGCCCACGTGGACAAGACAAATGCCTTCTGAAGAAAAGTGATCAGCTGAGACAAAGACTGAAGTATTAGGTCACAGTGACAACAGGTATGTTTGGAAGAGTAAAGTTGAGGCTTTCAAACAGAAAGAATACTGTCAAGCATGGTGGTGGCTCCATCATGCACTGGGGCTGCTGCCACTGGTACTGGTACATTGCATACAGTGGATGGAATAATGAAGAAGGAGGACTACCTTCGAATTCTACAAATTCACCCCAACTTAACAACTAAATGGCTGAAGCTTGGACACAGCTGGGTGTTCCAACAAGACAATGATCCCAAACACACATGAAAACTGGGTTTGGAATGTATAATGGATAAATCAGGCTAACATTACGTTTCTGGACTGGACTTCCCAAAGCCCTGACCTCAACTCTTTTGAAAACTTATGGACTATGCTTAAAATCCAGGTTCCCACCAAAAAAAACCCACCTAGTTAAAATGGTCTCTTGTCTTGATGCATGCTCAATCATCCAGGTAAGGAAATCCAGGAAAACTGATGACTGTTGTAGCGTTTTCACTGGAAGAAATGTTTTTGTCACTCTTCCAAGTGAATTCTTCAGTCTCAGTTGACTGCAGCCTTCTCTAACATCATAAATGAACTCTTGTTCCAAGAAGAGCTGTCAAATATCCAGTCTGAATTATGCCTGAAGGTCGTTAAACTGTTAGCAGTCGGACGTACCGCCCACGGGACATTGGATGGTTTAGGGGACTAATAGGACTGCTAAGGGGTTAATGGCTACAAAAGTCCATGGTGAAGGTGTAACCTGCTACAGGACCAACATATCTGTTATTTGGAATGTATACATGTAAGTATACATACTTTATGTATGCTTTTGACCTTGTATGGACTTAAAGATGTATGCTGTGCAATCATTCTACCCTGGAAAGTTAAAAGAAAAACAAAGCCCCAAATTACCATGACATTCATGTCCATGATGGGTGTATGTAACCTGTATGTATGCTTAACATTTACATGAAAGCAGCAAAACAATTCTTACAACAAAGTCTTTTTTTAATTTAATGCATTTATTCCTCAAAAACAGCAAAGTCGATGTAAAAATTATTAACATTTAAAAAAAAAAAAGAAATCTGTTAGATAAATAAGTCTAAATGCCAATTTCCTTATATTTTAAGGTAGTGATTTTGCATCATTAATTCAAAAATGTCTGTACACGTTAGTGATACCATGAATAAGACAGAAAGCGAGTTTTCTCCCTGATGGAGTGTTCACTATGGACCAAGTACGCCACTGGCTTCCATCTTGTCACCCCTTTAAAACAGATTTTATTACCTCTAATAAGAACCTATCTGGAGTGAGGCTTGGCAGCATATATACAGTGGCTTGCAAAACTTTCCCACAGATTCTCGACTGGATTTGGATCTGGATTTTGACTGGGCCATTCTAACACATGGATATGTTTTGTTTTAAACCATTCCATTGTTGCCCTGGCTTTATGTTTAGGGTCGTTGTCCTGCTTGAAGGTGAACCTCCGCCCCAGTCTCAAGTCTTTTGCAGACTCCATGAGGTTTTCTTCCAAGATTGCCCTGTATTTGGCTCCATCCATCTTCCCATCAACTCTGACCAGCTTCCCTGTCCCTGCTGAAGAGAAGCACCCCCAGAGCATGATGCTGCCACCACCATATATGACAGTGGGGATGGTGTGTTCAGAGTGATGTGCAGTGTTAGTTTTCCACACATAGCGTTTTGCATTTTGGTCTCATCTGACCAGGGCACCTTCTTCCACATGTTTGCTGTGTCCCCCACATGGCTTGTGGCAAACTGCAAACAGAACTTCTTATGGTTTTCTGTTAACAATGGCTTTCTTCTTGCCACTCTTCCATAAAGGCCAAATTTGTGCAGTGCACGACTAATAGTTGTCCTATGGACAGATTCCCCCACCTGAGCTGTAGATCTCTGCAGCTCGTCCAGAGTCACCATGGGCCTCTTGGCTGCATTTCTGATCAGCGCTCTCCTTGTTCGGCCGGTGAGTTTAGGTGGACTGCCTTGTCTTGGTAGGTTTACAGTTGTGCCATACTCCTTCCATTTCTGAATGATTGCTTGAACAGTGCTCCGTGGGATGTTTAAGGCTTGGGAAATCTTTTTGTAGCCTAAGCCTGCTTTAAATTTCTCAATAACTTTATCCCTGACCTGTCTGGTGTCTAAATCCAATCGAGAATCTGTGGCAAGATCTGAAAACTGCTGTTCACAAACGCTGACCATCTAATCTGACTGAGCTGGAGCTGTTTTGCAAAGAAGAATGGGCAAGGATTTCAGTCTCTAGATGTGCAAAGCTGGTAGAGACAGACCCTAAAAGACTGGCAGCTGTAATTGCAGCAAAAGGTGGTTCTACAAAGTATTGACTCAGGGGACTGAATAATTATGCATACCCCACTTTTCAGTTATTTGTAAAAAATGTTTGGTATCATGTATCAATTTCGTTCCACTTCTCACGTGTACACCACTTTGTATTGGTCTTTCACGTGGAATTCCAATAAAATCGATTCATGTTTGCGGCTGTAATGTGACAAAATGTGGAAAAGTTCAAGGGGGCGGAATACTTTTGCAAGCCACTGTATCTATATCTATCTATATAGATATATATTTAGATTAAAAGCTGATATTGTGTTATACACTGTAACAAAAGCCCCAAGGTGAAAACTGGGGGATTCACGTGTGTGCAACACTACAGAGGATGGGTGAAGACTCCAACGAGGGCTTCCATTCAAATATGAAAGTGTCCTTGACATTTTCTGCACTGCACTGACTGCTCATCCTTGTCGCATTTCTCCAGGCTGCAGATGGAAAAGCACGACCTGTTGACATTTACAAACTTATCTGGCTGAGAGCGACAGCATTCTATAAGACACACCTCCAAATGTCCCACTGCCAACTTCCAGTTCATTCCACTTAATGTGTAACATGAACACACTACTGCTCTAAACCATCAAGTCCAGCTTTGAAAGGGGGGGGGAAAGAAGAGAAACCCACACACCTTTTTGCCAACATGTCTTCTCGATTGAAGCAATTGCAACCAAAGGTGGTTCAAATACAGACAGGGTTTCCTTTTTATGTCAAAAGATTGGACAGCAACCAAAAGTAGTGTGGTACATAATTTACTGTTAATTGGGTTAAAGCAGGACAAAGCTAAAATTAGGTGAATGCAAAGCAGGTATAGCAGCAGCAGAACATGACAAAGGTAAAGAAGTTGTGGACATTGGTCTGAGAAGTGATGTAATATGTATGCATATTAGACACTGGAAAGTGATGATGCAAATTAAGACAGGACAAGCATATAGCAGGCAACAGCATATGAAAAAAATAAAAACAAATTATTTTCTCAGTATAGAGGAGAAAAGACTCCTGTACTTTATTGACGGTGAATAAATCAATATCCAAAAGCCAAATGGATGCAATCAGGAAACTTATATATGTAACATCTGTGCGGGTTAAGCTTCTGCATCATTAAGCTTTCCAGAGGAACGTTCACAATGAGCCAGTTTGTGCAGATCTGCCAATCTTTGTGCTTGTGGTCCAGCTGTGGTTTAGAAATCAGGACGGTCCTTCTTCAGCTTGCTGTAGTCCATGTTGACTGTGAAAAACTGAAAAGACACACACACACAAAAAAAAAATAAAAAATTACCAAGATTGCACAGAAAAATCCATGCACCACCATAAATGGTTTGGGTCACTTGCCACAACAAACACGACTACATCAAGTTACACTCGTTAATGACTTAATAAGATTTGTTAACACAGGTCAGCGTTAACAAGATTATGTTTGATTAGTCCAACTAAAGAGGAATTATCCCTGGATAAGAAACTCCACCGCTAAAGCTACACAATACAATCCAAGAGTAAAACCACCTCCACTGTTAAATACATCAGAGCAGAAAAATCAAGACTGCAAAACAATTAAACATAAGGGATGCACACCTTGTACTGATCATTTGGGCCAAGTTTGTTCCAGGGCTCTGGATTATTCTTGCGATCCCAGCTGCAGAAAGAAGAGTTAAAGAGTAACTCCTAGGTACATGGCAACGAACTTGAAGTTTCTCTTGTATGCAAATATGAAAAAACACATTTTTAATTAATAAAACGACACATGACTTACCAGACGTCAGGGTTTCTCAAGCCCAGACGGGCGAGGTACAACAGAGACATGGCTGCTCCTCCACCGATGAAGATGAAAAGGGGGATCAGCTGTAAGAGATAAAGGAAGATAAGGCATCTTATCAGCTGAGAGAAGCCTAAAGCTCTCAAGACAATGACACTCAACTACATGTTTACACTGAAACCACGCCGCTGCTCACGTAGGCAGCCTCTGGAATGAAACATGAAACGAACAGGGGCTAAAATTGGCCAACTTTAACTACCATAACTAAAATATATACACATATTTTGTCGAAAAGAGAGGCGCTTTTGTGGGTTCTATTAATAGTTCACAAGGACTTGCTAACCCAATGTAGCCAGCTAACTAGTGGGAGCAGCTATTTAGAGCACATGAAAAGGCTCTTCGTGGCTAATAATCAACAACCATCGAATGACCAAAGTCGTGACCTTATTTAACTGAAAGTCATCAGCTGCCAGAAGGATCACTCTTAACCAACAAATTACACGGAAAAAATTAAAACAGAAAGACTGCTACATACTTTGATCTCTCAAAGTCAGTGCGGTCAAACGCAGAGGCTAATCAAGCTAGCACTGCTAACTGGCAACTTAGCCTAGTCCCAGCCTGGGCTCTCAAAAAGATTACCCAAAATGACTTTTAACCTGAATATAGTTGCAATATACTTACAGCTGGGTGACTTCTAAGTTGTTTGCGGACTATGGCGAGCATTTTGTCGTTCCTCGCGTGCCAAGTTAACCGACTTTGTACCCAAATAAAAGGATTAGGAGCAGTCTTGCCAGAACAGTGCGCAATTTAATCCTTGAGAAAGGGCGGAAGGAGGGTAGAGCAAGCACCAATAGGATGCTCACACACTGCCTGATCCAGCGTGATTAAAAAACGGAATTAATTATTACTATGTTCAGTATGCATATCGATAATTTTGTTAGTGGATATAATAAATTCCGAATAATTTCACATGGCTTAATTAATGAGCTGTTATAATGCTCGAGCTTTGATTTCCACGCAGCATTTTTAATCCGGCAAAGTCAAAGTGGTTTAAAAGCCCCAACAATCGCTTATTTTGAACAAAACAAATATTTAATATATATTCTCTTTTTCTTGAGGTCAAGAATAAAATTAACCTTCAGGACTGTCTCTGTTTGTGAAGCCTAAAAAAATGTTCGTCTTAATTTAATTTGGAATACTTATTTTATGTACCTATTTACCTACTACAATGAAAAAAAAAGTATTTTATTATTCTTATTCCCAATATTTCGTTCAAATTTTATGTGATTATTAAACAAAGAAAAGCTTAGATCCTACCGAGGTTATTGTAATTAATTAAAACTAAAATAAAAACTAGTAGATGTCGAAAAAGCTTTTTAGTTAATAAAAATAAAAAGTACACTTTTGAAAAATATATATAAGCTAACTGAAACGATTTTGTGTACTTGAAAAAAAAAACTTAAAATAAAATGAAAAACATATCGTAACCAGCCTGATGGCTTTGATGAACATGTTTATTGGGACTTGTGGGTGACCTGCTTTCAGAAAGGTTTTTTTTTTTAATGTACTAGATATTCTGATTTTTTCCCTAAACATCCTCTCCAGTAGATGCTCTCCATATCCTGGAGGCCTAAAATAAAGACTTAAGCTAATAAAAACGCAATGAAAAGTAAACATTTGTAACCAAAATGAGCAAACACATTTTGGGAGCTATATTAAACTCAACTGAAGTCAAAACTCAATAAAAAATAAAAATAAAAATAATTTAAAAAAAATAATTCTGGTTCCCACTGATCCAGAACAGATATTTTTTCATTTATCATCTTATACTGCACTATAAATATAAATTGTGTTTACTGTAATATGTGCAGTCAGCTATATATGTTTCCCATACCAAAACAGAAGTAGCTGTTGCTCATAATTATATCAAGTTACAGTATAAAGTCTACCTAATGTTAAATTCCCTTTACTCTATTTAAAAAAAATCTTTAATATTAGTGGCATGGTAGATAACAGTAGAGACACACCATGATCATTATGATGTTTGAGAATAAATATTCAGAGTAATTCATTATGTATTTCATTATTTGCTTCTTAACTTTGTTCTAGGGAAATGAAAAGTTTCATAACTCCTTATCTTGCTCTATGGCATCTACAGAGAGCAAGGTTAGAAGGTTAGAAGTTTACATACACTCATCATGGGTATGAAAGTTATGGTAATTTAGTTTAAAAAAAAACATTTCTTTTTCGAGAGGGGAATGATTGCACAGCTTAGATCTTTAAAAAACAAAGAATTGTGGGCATAAGTTTGAATGTATTTTGGATTTTCGCTAATCCAGTGTGTCAAAAGTATACAGATACGTATTCCTATATATATATATATAAACATATATATATATATATACACGGCACACATTCACCCAAATCTTTTTTGACAAGGCAAAGGCCTATTAACTTCTCATCACAGAGAATGATTGGTTACAACTGGTAATTTCTCTTTGCCAGCATAAGGAGGATTCACTGGATTGACCAGTACAGAACAATGGGACACAGCTGGGTGTTCCAAAAGGATCACCAAACAATCCAAAGCACAAATCCAAAGCTGGGTTTGGAATGGATAAAGGAGGCTAGCATTAAGTTTCTGGAACAAATTCTCGACTCTATTGGAAATTTGTGCAGTATGATTAAAATCCAACTTCTTGCCAGGGAATCAAGCAGATTAAAAAAAATAAAATTCTGCCAAGAAAAGTCAAATGTTCAGCCAGAATTCTTCCAGCAGCTTGCTAATGGCTACCAAAACTGTGTGGTTGAGCTGAAACTTGCTAAACAGAACAATTCGTGTTTTTAAAAGCCATTAAAGATGTTTGTTGTACAATCATTCCACACTGGAAAAACAACAGTTCAAAGAAATAACAGAGTCCAAAATCATCACGACTTTCATGACCTTGATGAGTTATCATATTTTTTTAAAGTTGCTATTTTGTTTTCACTTTTGTTTTATTTGGATTTTCTCCTCACAGTTAATGTTGTTAATTTGTTGTTGAGGCCTCCCCTCTGCACTGTTATGAGTTGTAATTTTATTTTTTGAACTACAACTGTGGTATATTTAAATGCTAAATGCTACTTTCATATAATTTCCTGAGTACTTTCTCTCAAAGTGCACACAGAGTTGAGTTTATAATTTGCATTATATATAAATAGTGCTCACTTACTTCAAATTTATTTTAATTGAATGATAAAATAGATCTCAGATTTCACTGTATGATATTGATGTTAAAAGTTGGTTATAAAAATGTATTAATTAATCATGCTAAAGAAAACAAGAATTGGGCTTTGGACTGTGACATTTAGAGCGGATGTAAAACTAATCTAAGTGGAAGGTTAAACCCTGAAAATGTCATCAGATTTCAATTTTTGCTATCAAATGCACTTATTAAATTATGACAGATTTAAAAATCTTGGGGGGAAAAACACTTATGTCCCCTAAGTACTTTGAGGACCTATAACTTAAAATTTCTGTAGTATGAAGGTAAAATTTAGCAGGCCTTATTTAAATACATTAAAGATTGCATATTTAGTTTCTTTATTAAATATAAAGAAACAAAACAGGCTGCTGTTAACATCTCTTATCAGTGCATCCATGTTTTAACTGCAGAGTTCACTGTCAGCTATTTCTCCTCCAAACACTGCATTGATTTTCAAGACAAAACAAAACAAAACCCTGGCTATTTAGTTTTAATTGTCAGGTTTAAGGACATTTCCCTTAAGATATAATCAATATTCCAGTTTTTTATCAGTTCCATTCAAAATATTGATTCAGGGGCATTTCATATTTAGAAGTCCAGTGTCCTTTCATTCCTTAGGTGCATTTCCACAATCAATGCATCTTTAAAAATATTATTTGAAGAAGAGAAAATTGTGTAAGCTACATATTATTGGAATATCGATGGGTGTTTAAATACATTTAATTGTTGGGTTTGGCTAACAAGTTTAACAAGTAGCTGGTGATTAGTGCCATGATGCAGTCAATACCATTCTAGAATGAACCGATTTGAACCAGTTTTCAAAAACTGGAAAAAAAAAAAGAATAAAAATGACAACAAAATATAATAATTTCCCTTTTATGGCAAGTAATTTTCAACTTTAGAAAATAAACGTAAATACAATTTAAAAGTAAGACTGGACATAAGACAACAGGCGACATACAACCGTCTAAATTTTCATAAAGGACATTAAACTTACTAATTGTTTTCTCAGACAAACTAAATGTTACAATTACACACATTCAAGCATCCATTTGTAAACCATTTGGTGTAATTTCATGGGTTAACTGCTGGAAATGTATTTCTAAGGCCTTGTTTGGTTCAACATCAATCCAAGGCAGGTGAGCTGGTTTCAGAAACAATAAAGATTTGTCTGAATAAAATAAGGTTTACACCTGTGCACTTCAGCCAGTTCAAATTCTTCCACAAAAAGGACTGCAGGTTGTGTCACAGCTCATTCTGGACTTGATCCCATATAATGCATCTCTTCAGTATATCAACTGTACACAACAGAAGCTGGAGTTGAAAACTACAACGACTCTCTTTTAAATGCAGTAAAATATCTGACCATAGTTCAACAAGTCATAGGCACATATAGTGTGCCTGTACATGATGTCTTATGAAAATAATATACTGGCTATAGTGTTTCCAATCTAGTATTTCTCTTCTTTTTTTCCACATGTGCGCCAGTGTGTTTCAGTGTGTAGTCTTCTTGGGGGCTTTGCCAAATTTAGCATCCATTCCAAGACCTAAAGTGAGAAAACCAAAGATGTGAATGGAGGGAAGACACAACATCTGAACAGATATTTTATATACATTTAACCTGATGACATGTCAATCATCCAGGTAAGTAAATTCCAAAAATTTGACTCTGTTCATCTGGATGTAGCGTTTTCAATGGGAGAAACGTTTTGTCACTTGGATTGAAAAGACTATGTCCAGATGAACAGAATCAACCTTTTGGAAACCTGACGAAATGGAAATCTAATATATTAAAATACGAAAGTAATATAGTTACTGACCGAGGAATACGAGAATGGTGCCAACCCACTGCATTGTAGTCATTACATTGCCAAACAAAATAACAGAGCCAAGGATGGTGAAGAACTTCCTCGTAGTTGTGACAATGGAGCAGGTCAGAGGCCCAAAGTACACAACTGTCATGAAGATGAAGGTCTGAAAAAGGAACATTTGAGCCGGCCAGTCAGGATGTCAGTCATTACTAAGTATCTATTGTAAAACACAACAGGGTGTTTCCTGTTCTTTAATATGGCATTGCTAATAATCAGTACTCGCATTGATCCACCTACCTGGCCTAAAGCACTGGTGACTCCAAACAGAAATATATTGTAAAAGATGCCCGGGTGGCGCTCTGCAAAACTCAGGAATTCCCACACTTCCCCTGTCCACAACACCGCTGAGAACAGAGAGGAACGTAACATCAACAACTTTTCAAAAACACAGTTCATTTCTGACTATCCTTGGTAAGAAAACCAGACCGAGTTCACAGTGTGAATGTACAGCACCACCAAGTGGTTCTGTACAGTATTAGCAGTTAGGTGAAATCTTAGTGTGGGGGTGTAATGAATTTGTAGGAGTGGAGGTATAAGAATACCTTTGCATCTTGGGAAATACTAGACATCAAAGTCTTGCTGTGCATGTTGAAACCAGGAGTATATCTGCATTTGCACACATTTGACAACCAATAACTAAAAGCTGTTAAGGTTGCATATTGGAACTGCACTTAACGCTTACAAAAAAAAACGCCATAGCTTTATAAAATGTAATTTAGCATAAT